CGGCGTGCGCCGAAATGGGGAGACTTTTCAGCTTTCCGCTGAGATGGAGTATGACGAGAGCGAAGATGGTAGTTGTATTTTCGATTAGCGTTTTGTAAAGAATTTCAAACGTATTTACTTTTTCGAACTTTACACACTGCTATTCAAAATAACTCATTCGAAACTGAATCACTTGATGTCTTGGTTGATTCCTGGGTCTTTTCGGAAATAACTCAAGCATTGGTTGAATCCTATAGAGATGCATTATTTCACGCAGTGTTTTCCTGAACAGTTGTGCAATTGGTCAAAAAATGGATTCTTGCTCAGGAGGTCTATTGAGCTAATACTGTAAAATGGCAACATGCAATTCCCACTAACGTTATTACTACTACTACGTACTATTAATATTGTATTAATAGTACATAGTAGTAGTAGTTGTACTATTAATACAATATTAATAGTAGCGTGACTGTTTGTTTCGACACTCCACCACACACTCACAAGACCCAATCGTTTCACTCGATTACTATGTCACGAGTCGACTAGTTAGTATATATATATCCAACTAACACGGTCGGTAGGGTGTAATTTTACCCCGTGACGATGCGTACTCCGCCCAAAGTCGCGATCGAGTGCGGGAACGACGCACTCGGCTGTTTCATGAACATCATGTTCTTGGGAATGCCATATGCAGACGACACCCACTCGATGGCCGCGGGGCCAAACTCGCCAGAGTGCATAGCCACATGCACAAAGTCAATCTTGAGCTTGGGGTAGATTCGATCCAGAATAGCCACGCTCTCGGCCAAAGTCTCGATATTCTTTCCGTCCTCTTCGTCCGCCATCGCTTGAACCCCCGATTCCGTCGACACGTGCACTACGAGCAAGTGGCTCGTGTGCTCATTCGCCCGGGCATACAAAATCGCCTTGTTCAGCAGCGGCAAGTCGCAATGCTTGGCGAAAAACACCGTCGGACTTGTGTCGGCAATCTCACGCATCGCCCGCACAATCGTACGACCTACAGACATATATATATATATATATATATTAAAATCTCGATTCACAGAGATGGTTATTTGTTGTTCAACGTTGTTTCGAATAGGAATCGTAGCCAATCAGCAACCACAGTTCCCATTTGGACCAATACGAGAGAGATTCATGACCAAAAATAATGTAGCCAATCAACAACAAGCACAGGTCGGATTCTTGACCAATGGGAGAGTTTGAAGACCTGTTAAAACGACGATTGCAATGTAGCCAATCAGCAACATGCACAGTTCTCATGTCGACCAATACGAGAGATTGAAGACGTATACCAAGACGACTAAAACACATGTAGCCAATCAGCAACAAGCCCAGTTCTCATTTTGACCAATGGGAGAGTTTGAAGACCGTATATATATATATAAATACCTCCCATGGCGCCTGTGCCCTTGTCCTGAGTGGTGGCAGATTCGCCAGCTTTGGATCGCCGGGACGGACACATCCGCTGCAGCGCGTACATGACCAGTCTGAGGAGGAAGAGCCGCTCCAGCATGACAAATACCACGGCCAGAACCAGCGAAAAATAGAGCGCAAAGTACGTCAACACGGTGGGGTCGCCCATGAGATTCCCAAAGAACGCTACGATCACGAGCGACACCCCCGTCAAGCACGCCGACCTACAGCCCATCAAAATACTATCCCAAACATATATATATATATAGTTGTTGTCGGAATAATAACATCAACGTCGGACCCATTCGATACTTTCTCATATATATCTATTTACAATACCATTATAAGTACAGTACACTATCATTGAAGTGACACACACACACCACACCCACATTGGACGTTGTGATTGGTCCGTTGATTTATGCTTTGAGTTTGGTTGCAATCTCACTTTTGAATCAAACTGGAATCATATACATATACAGTGTAATATAGTAGTATATATAGTCCAGTCGATTCGAAATTCGAGTGGGGTGCGCTCTCAATCGAATGAATCACCAACTCGGCAGACAATATTCGATATATTGACCAATCAAAACCCACAACACGAATCTAGTGCCCAATCAAATCCACGTCACATGGAATTAGTGTGTGTGACTGAAATTAGTGTGATACTGGACGATCTTTACAAAAGTCAGTACTACAAAGCAGCAGCATCGATCGATCGATTTGGCAACGAATCAGCACCAAAGTCAACCAAATTGTTTGGGTAAAACGACCATCATACATTGCACCGCCATACATATATATATAATATACAGTACATATTCCAATCACCAAATAGAATCAAGTATCCTTACCATGGCGCAATCACATCCCGAGGCAGCGCCGCTCGCTTATACTTGAGCAGCATGCATCCTGACCCAAACAGCGTCATGAGGCCGAGAAACGCGTACGTGTAGACGCCGCTGAGGGTCTCGACGTCGCCCCTGAGCACGAGCACGAGGGACGTGGCGACTGCAAAGTACCCCCAGAGGATCCAGTGGTTGGTGCCGCGCCACGTGTTCTCGTGCAAGAGGAACGGCGGCACCACGCGGTCGCTGGCCAGTCGCCGGATCAACCCTGGCCATTCATTCATTCATGTCGTTAGTTAAAACCCAATAACTCAACACTTTGTTACAAAATACAGAACAAACATATGAAGGTTCGAGTGGATGATCGATGGACCAATCAAAATACACACAACAGTAGGATTTCTTCCACGGGCCAATCAAAAAGAGTCCTGCACAACCATCGAAGTGACGTGTGTGGTTTCTTTATAAATATAGTTGTGACACCGTTTCGTTCCATACAAAATTCAGTACAAACAAAATCGCCCGATGGTTTGCAGCACACAAATCCAATTTTCTTCGTAGCGAAAATCTCTCTATTTATATTGGTAATTCGATTTCAAAATGGACTGGGGCTGCCTATCGAATAATCGACGGAACAAAGTAGCCAATGAAATTATCGAAAAAAACTTTCGACCAATCAAAGTACAGGCGTATCCGGTGCATTTGCCAAGCTTCTCCATTTCACAAACAGTTCAACGTTGTATCGGACAGGAGTCACAGTGAGTATAGTTAGTTCAAGTAAAAGGACGCTCGACGATTTCGTCGAATCTACCGAAAATACCAAATTTACCTCGAAAGCACAATATATATCTCCAACTACTGCCACATAACGTGACGAGGGATACAGCTCAAATCGAGTCCATACACATCGATGTACTACAGACATTCAACTATTCAATATGTGAACGTGTACGTACAGTCGACAAAGCCGTTATGCTTGTATATGATATATATATTGTCAATTCGATTCGTAATTATTGGTTTGGGCTGCTCAATATCGAATATGTCGGCACACAATCGACCGACCAATGAAAACCCACCACACAAATCAAGTGGCAAATCACACTATCAGAATTAGTGTGTGCCTTGAAGTACAGGCTTTACAAATTGAACATACAAACACAAAAACTTGAAAAATCGACCGATAGATTGGGTGAATCGGGGCGCAAATATCTACATTTTCGCTGAAAAATGCACAATATATATATAAATCCTATATCAGAATATGCGATACCGTTGATGCCAACGTATGCCGTGAGCACGGCGCCACTGAGCACAATAAACGCATCGAGGGTCACGAGCGTTTCGAACGTGTGGCCGCCGACGACCAGCGCCATTTTGGACAGCACTGTGTTCTTGAACATGTTGATTGTCGACAGAGGCATCACTCCCAACGACAAGAATGAAAGCAACGGATTAAACACGGCCACGCCCCACCACATATTCTATATCACGAGATATTATTATATATATATATATATATATCGGTGTACCCGGAGGGTTTTGGGAAACACACCCGGCGCTTGCTCTTGGACAAACTGGGACGACGATTCAAAGCCAGAGATGCCCAACATGGCCGTGGACGTGCCGAAGAACAGCGCCGTGAACACGTCGCCGTCAATCCTACAGAATATGATGATCCATACAAGAAACGAATCATACAAAGGGTGATATTTGACCAATCAAAACCCAGATGACGAATCAAGTGGCCAATCAAATCCATCCGCCATGCTTCAACACACCAATGCAACATCGTCCAAAAGTCAGAATTGATAGATTTGGCGAATATGAGCACAAAAGTTGTCCAAATTGTATGGCAATACCAGTTGCCCGCGAGGTTGATGGGCGGGTACTCGGTCTCGAACAAGTTGGCGTAGAGCTGCTGGCCGCGGTTTTGGAAGATGAACCACACCGAGAGGCCGCAGAGAGTGACCAGTGTGAGCGTGTGCAGAACGAAGATGCCGAGCGCGACCACAGCGCTCTCGGAGATGCCAAAGCACGTCAGCGCGGCGAAGAAGAAGAGCAACCCGACAGTCGAGCCTACGATAGGGATGCCCGGGAACGTCGACGCCAGGTACGTGCATGCAGATGTGCCCGACACGACCCCTACGATCATGTGAGAAATGGACGATGGGAGGAGGATACTGTATGCATACCCGTGGCAATGTACGACAGGATCGCGAGCGAGGCCGCCACGGATGCGACGCGCTTGGACGTTGTGTTGAGAAGCACATTGTAGGACCCGCCGTTCATGGGGATCGCATTCACCACTTCGCCGTAGATGAAGCGGTACAGGTACAAGATACCCGCGACGAGGGCGAGTGACACGGGCGCCAACTTGCCCGCCTTGGACGCCACCAACCCCGACACGTACAGACATGACGAAAGAATGTCGTTGCCACAGATCGCCGTGGCCGGCCATTCCGCCAGCTTGGGGTGTTCGCGAGATTTGAGCGTCGCGTTGATCTCGGCCAACTTGTCGTCGGGGATCGTCACGTTCGAAACTTGCCCCCATCCAGGAAACTCCCACGGCTTCATGTGCTGCATGGAGCGGCTATTTTCTTCGTCCGATCCATACGTCGAACGAGACGCCGCCATCTTGTCCGCGGTCAGTCCGTCGTGCTCGCTGGTACTCATCGTCGAATTATGTGGCGAGATTCAAGATGCAGTATGTTGCACTAATTCGAAACCACTGCATTATTCGCGTTTTAAACATGTTTCAAACAACAAATACCGGATTGACGCCATCAAAAGGTATAATTCCCTCATTAATACAGTAGTACCACTGTTTTGTCTCAGAAAACGCTTAAATTTGAGTGGTTATATGTGCAATTTGAGTGTTTATATGGGAATTAGTATACTCTGACTACCTCACCTCGTCCTATTGGGTTAGTTAACCCAGAGGATTTAGTATCATACCGTATAGTGTATATGTATTGCGACAGGTGATATTTCACAACCAGCCGACACTCGTTCGCAAAATTTTGTTGATCCAATGCGTCATACAAATTTGAAGTATATTCAACATGTTCACAAGTAAATATCAGTTATTACAAGAAAATTATCAGTTATTACAGGAGTCGCAATAGATTAATCCGTCGCAATACATATACACTATACGGTATGTACTGCTACGGGCGAAAAAGTGTATCCGGATGGGATTATGACAGTATTTCGGGTCAAATCAACAGTGGAACTGTTTTAATGAGGGAATTATTCCATCAAAAATAGCGCTGGAACTTGCATTGCACCCTTGCGACTGCAGTTGCTGGTACCGTAGATGGGGATTGGTACTGTAATAATACCGGAATTTTACTCAACGAACCCATCGATAGTAATTGCGCGGCACCTCCTCGTGCGACAATCGCTTTAAACGCTCACCCTCACCTTCAATACACTCGCGTTTATCGTTTAAAACGTCAACTAACCGTTCCAAACGCGTTTGAAATGTCCGTCCGCGCGTATACAAAGTTCAAGTCAACGAAATCCCATTCGCACAAATGTTCTCGTGAATTGGTCCGAGGGGTCGGTCATCCAACGACAGCGCAATGGCTGCCGAGTCGGCCTCGATCCTGTATGGGTCCCTTCCGTTGGACGACAACTTCGGTGGAAGCACCAACGACGAAGGGAACATGAACGTGCATGTGGACCCACTGACGATCCATCTTGCGGACGACGTCATGCACGTGAAGGCTTGGGAGTTCCCGGGATGGGGCTCCGCGACGTCCGAGAGCGCAGACCCTGCCGAACTGAAAGATCTAGATGCAACCCTCGTGGCCGCCACGCATGCACATCGTTTGGGGGAATGGCCTGCTACAGCGATCTGCGGCAACGACATCCTGTCATCCTGTTTGTACACGGCCGGCATCGTCGCCGTCCGAGCCGGAAAACTCGCGCCGGTTGCGATGGCTGTGGTCGCGGCCATTCTCTACCTCTACCGATACATCTACGGCGAAGTCGTGAACGCAATTCCTCTCAACGGCGGCTCGTACAACGCGCTCTTGAATACCACCACGAAGCGTATCGCGTCCGTCGCCGCTGCCCTTGGCATCCTCTCATACGTCGCCACAGGTGCGTCAGTCATCGTCCTCTATGTTCCTCCCTCCCGCTCATGACCTTGCAGGCGTCGTGTCCGGCACGTCCGCGTGCACGTACCTTCAATCGTTGGTTCCGTCGCTGCCGATTGTCCACGCTAGCGTCGGTCTGTTGTTCTTCTTCGCTCTCCTCTCCATTATTGGCATTCGGTACGGATCGTAAATGACTTGATTTGATTGGTTCGTTGTTTGATTGCTCTCTTGTTTTTGATTGGCTAAAATGTGCCTTTTTCTGTCTTTTTCGCCAAATAGTAGTATTTTCCGTGTTTCTTGTTATTTACTCGGGTCTTCTTTCGTAGCGAAAGTGCCGGGGTGGCACTGGTGATCTTTGTCGTGCACACCACGACCTTGATCGTGCTCTGCGGCATGTCCGTGGTGTTCCTCATCCAGGACAAAGCTGCCATCCTTCGCGCCAACTTCCACGCCGACTACCCCGACGTGTCCGTCGCCGGCGCCACGTACGCAGTCCTCGTTTCCTTCCTAGTTTCAACTCATGTTGGCCTAATTAGGGTTCCTGGGTCGCTCTCCACGGCGCTGTTCTTCGGCACGTGCACGGCAATGCTCGGCATCTCTGGCTTTGAAACGTCCGCCCAATTCGTCGAGGACCAAGCGCCAGGCGTGTTCCCCAAGACATTACGGGTACTTCCTACAACCTACTACTACCTCTACTACTACTACAGCCAACTACTAGTTATTCTACTACTACTAGTTCTTCTACTACTACTAGTTCTTCTACTACATCTATGGGTAGCCAGCTATTTCTTGTGCATTTACTAGTACTCACGTTACGAGTACTGTACTTGTACTTCTACTACGACTACTGGTAATACTTAGTACTAGTAGCTGTATTTAATTTCGGGGGTGTAATGGGAAAATGGAGTATTTTTATTCATTTCGATTTAAAAGATTTTTTTTAAATATAGCTCTTTTATAATTATTTATTTAAAAAAATGCCTTCAACTAGTAATACTTCAACTACCGTGATAACAACTCACAACCGAAATCCATGGAAATAGAACATGTGGTGGGGCGTGGCAATCTTCAACCCGTCGATTTCGTTCTTGTCGCTGGCGGTGCTGCCGCTGCCGATCCTGACGACGCACAAGGACACGGTGCTGAGTGCGATGGCGAAAGCGGTGGGGGGACGGGGTCTGGAGACGTGGGTGGCCGTCGACGCGTTCGTCGTCTTGTCCGGCGCCGTGCTCACGGCGTACGTGGGCATCACGGGACTCGTGCGGCGTCTCGCCCTCGACCGGATCCTGCCGTCCGGGCTGCTGACCACCAACCGGTGGAGGGGTACCAACCACTGGATCGTACTCGCATACTTTGGGATCTCGGCGTCCCTTGTGGTGGCCCTGCGCGGGCAAGTGGACACGCTGAGTGGCGTGTACACGTTTGCATTCCTCGCACTGATGATCTTGTTTGGGGTTGGATGTATGTTGCTCAAGTTCAAACGAAGCGATTTGCTCAAGCAGCACGCTGAAGGAAGGGAGAATGCGCCGTGGGGTGTGGTGGTAGTAGGAGTCGGTTGCATGGTGCTGGCGCTGGGAGGGAATCTGGTGAGCGACCCGGCCGTGCTGTCGATCGCTTGCGTGTACTTTAGCATTGTCATGGGAATCGTGATGGTCATGTTTGAGCGCGTGTTCGTCCTGCGCCTTCTTCTGGCGCTGGTCACGGCAATGTGGCCGAAATCGAAGGGGGAGAAGAAGAGAACGGCGGCTGGCGACGGGAATGGTGCAGAGCTGTTGAATGGACACAGAAACAACAGCAGTGGAGATCAGAGTACTACTGGTGACGACATTGGTAACGATGGCGGCGGTGGGTACGTGGACGAGTCGTCGAGTGCTGGCGCGTCGCCCTTCCACGCGCTGTCGTCTCCCGGGTATGACAGATGACAAGCGGCGACGACGATGTGGTGGAAAAATGATGATGATGTTGGTTCTCTTTTTTGGGGTGATTATTATACTGTACTTTCTTTTTTCGGACTTGTTTTTGGGTTGTGATATATACTACTCCGTAGTAGTATGTGAAAAACATTTTCTTTTTTGTTGTTTTTTGTTTTGGTGGTGTTGAGTTGTTGAAGTGTAGGATGAGCATTGCGAGGGCGATCCATGCAATCAACGGACCGCCGATCCTGTTCTTCTGCAAGCGGCCGCACCTGCCGACACTGAACAAGGCCATATTGTACGTGCGGCAGAACGAGCAGACGGCGCAACTGTACATTGTGCATGTGACCGAGAAGCGCGAGGACATGGACGCGTTTGCGAGTGTCGTGTCGCTGTTTGACCGGATCTACCCCAAGCTCAAGATCGACTTTGTGCAGGTCGTCACGCACGGGTACGTTGGGTTTGGCCCGGCGGTTGTCGAGTGGGTCAGCCGCAAGTACCACACCCCCAAGAACCTCATGTTCATCAAGCAGCCGAGCCACGATTGCGCCCACACGATCGCGTCCCTCGGCGGCGTCCGCGTCATCACAGGATGAAGATTTATGTATGTAACGTTAATAGTAAATGGAGTACAGTGCCCGCAACTTGCAATGGGGTTGAAAGTCGGTGGTGGTCGTACATAACTGATGGTCTGCTTGTGGTGGTTTCGTGCCTTCAGTTGCTCCAAACGGGATGCTATAGTACTGTGATGACGTTACGAGGGAAGGGTGAGCGCACGCAGAGCCGCCGCCGCGAGGACTTACCGTTGTAGTGTGTGGTAGTTGAACCTGAAGTAAACGACGACAGAGCAAGTCGGCGGTGTAAGCTCCATGGCACACGTATGGCTACAGGGGTCGTCATGAGTGCGATGCTAGCGGTTGCAATCGGCATGAAGAAGGGAGGTTGAGACTTGATGATCATCACATGACAGCAACTACTGTTCTGTGAAAAGTTGCGATTCCTTTGGAAACTGTATTTTAATTCCTTGATTTTCAAGTATACATGCAACAAGATATAATTAATTGTAGATATTATAATCGTGTCGTTCAGTACCCTCCATTATTATATTCACCACCAAGGGTCCATCATGTCGACCGCCGGCATGCGCTTCTGCCAAGAGTGGTGCGTTACCCTCTTCTACCCTCATCATGTCTTAATGGGCTGGTTGTGCTTCGTAGCAACAACATGTTGTACCCGAGCCAAGACCGAGAGATGAAGCAGCTCACGTTCACGTGCCGCAACTGCAGCCACAACGAACGGGTGCCGGAACACTGCATCTACGTGAACAAGCTGGTCAAGGATGCACGGAATCAAATGGATGTGTTGCCGGAAGACATCATCGACGACCCCACGCTCCAGCGCGACTTTGACGTTGTCTGCCCCATGTGCGGCCAACAAGGTGCGGCGTTCATCCGATCCCACGACGGGGTCAAGCAGTCCACCCTGGCGCTCATTTGGATCTGCTTGAACCGCGACTGCCAGACCGACGACAATGGCAACCGCCTGCCCACGCATCGCTGGATGGACGACGCGTTCAGATAGAATAATACACCTTGGTCTACCTTAACGTTATGCTTGCTCGTCGCGTACCAGGTATTCCGCTACTGACACCTGCATTCCTTCGTCGACATCTACATTCATCATGAACCTGCACAGCATCGATACTGCATCTCATGTTTCCTAGCTCCTTCATGCCTTCACATCGCTTCCAGTTGTCTTTGCGCCACCACTTCTCATCAATTGGGATGTACTGCCCCGGATAATATCCGGATATCATCATCTATTTTATTTTCAATACATTTGGAATGTTGATATAATTAACTTGAGATCGATCGATCGACCTTTAGAGTCATGCTTACCGCTGCGGCCGCAGCGTACATGGGCGCCGGCAGCATCGTGGAATGGCGGGACGAAGAGGAAAGCGACATCTCCGTCCAAGCCTACCTAGTTTACCCTGATGCACATGTGGGTCGCATCATGACGGGCGTGGTGATCGTCCCTGATTGTGCTGGCTTCCGTACGCCGTACGTGTGCACGTTCGCGGACAAGCTCGCTGAACAAGGGTACAAAGTCATCGTGCTGGATCTACCCGTCACCACGGCGACGTCGGATGAATGGACCAACTCGGGTACGTTCCGCAAGTGGAAAGACACTGCAGCAGCTGTGGAAGCGTCGACGGTGCGGTGGGCGCTGCGATGCCGCGACCTGCTCAAGCAAACGTACGAAGTGCAGCGCGTGGGCGTGCTTGGGCTCGGGTATGGCGCTGAAGTCGCGGTCCGCATCGCGAGCTCCTTTGACGCCGTCGCGCTCCTCAGTCCCACCGCGCTTCCTCCACCCTCGTCGTCGACGACTCCCACGTTGTTGGTCACAGGCGACCGCAACGAATACATCGACTCTTCCAAGGTCGTTCATGCCTTAGCCTTGTTCGTGCCTGACTTATGTTCTTCTTCGTGTAGATCAAATCGTTTGTCGAGAGCTTTCCATCGACCTCCAACAGTGTGCGCGTGCGGGTACGTCGTTTTCATGACAGTTTGGGAAGTGTTGTCATGACATTCGTCCTCCTCGTAGGTCGTACCCGGACAACGTCATGGGTTCGCCCTGAGCCGCATCGCCGACGAGGACGCCGCGACGTTAGCCATCGCGGACATCTTGGACTGGTTCATCATCCACCTGCACCGCTTCCGCACGGCGCTGTGCACGAGCGACGGTACATCTGATTCCATGTTGACGTCATCATCTCTCTGATTCCATGTTGACGTCATCATCTCTCTGATTCCATGTTGCGCAGGCGATCCGTGGTGGCCACAAGGGAAGAATGGACCGTTTTACAACGTTGGACTGGGCCAATGGCAAGCCCAGCGGGCGGCGTGGCGCGCGGTCACTCGACCGAGGTTGGTGATATACTAGCAACAGATCATGTGGTTCAAGTGACTGGTTGTAGGCCGCCGAAACCGGCGCCGGTGTCACCGGCAGTGCTGTTTGAAGACCTGTCGTCCATGAAGCGAACGTACGACCTGCCCCATCCCATGACATTGGCCGACCTGGTCGAAATCTACGTGGACATTTGGGATATCAATCAGTAGTAAAGTCCTGCTTAGATATGATTGGATGACGGACGCGTCTGATTCCGCTGAGTCTAGTCGAATCGGCTGATTCTGAGACTGATTCCACCCCCCCCACCACCCCCTCCTTCGATCATTGGACCCCCCAACACATACACGCCAAAACTCAACCACGGAAGCTACCGGTCCCTAATCTCGCACGGCTTCTACACCGGATTTAGCCCGATATAGATGTAGTGTGGGCAACTGATTCTGATTCTCCAGAGTGTTTCTACTAGTACATACATACTAGTACTACGTAGTAGTAGTACATAGCGTTACTGGTTCAAGCTGAACCCGCCGCCAATGTACCGCTTGGAGGACGTGATCGCGAGTTGCTTTTGGGCGTCGACCAGCGCCTTGGCCTTGTCGGGCATTTTGAGCAGCGTCGGCAGTTGGGGCGTGTCGGCGAGCTTTTCTTCTAGCTTCATCTTGTAGTATTTGCGCTTGACGTCGTGGAGTTCGCGCGCGAGGCGTTCGATTTCAAACTTGAGTTCGTTTTCCTTGGACTGGAACATATTTTGTTCGCTTAGGAGGGACTTGAGTTGCTTGTCCTTGTCGCGCAGCGTTTGCTGGTACACGCTGAGTTGCTCCGCCACTTCGGGCCCAGGTTGCCGTGCCAGAATGTTCTTGAGCTCGACGTACAACTTGTCCTTTTCGTTTACAATCAGGTCCTTCTCCACGACTTCCTCGGTCTTTTGAATCAGACGTTTCTGCAGCGTTTGGATCTTCTGAATCATCTCGTACGTGGCCGGGTCCGATCCTTCCAGCTTGCGCCATCGGTGGACGTTCATGGGGTTTTCCAGCTCTTCGCTGAGCGCTTTCACTTTGGTCTTTTCCTGGAGCAGTTCGCGCTGCAGATGGTACACTTCTCTCTTGAGGTCGTCCAGCTGGCCCACCTGGTGCTTGGCAATGTGCAGCTCACGCTTCATGTCGGTGATCTTGAGTTTCAAGACGCGGATATCGGCCATGCGTTCTTGGTATTGCGTTTCCCCTAGTCGAAGCCGACTCAGATCTCGCATCAGACATAAACGTGCAACACACATTGGAAACAAACGAGCCATGTATATATACACACACATTCAACTAGCTCTGGACAAAACGAGCAGCCGGCCCCACGGCGGTATCGCGAATCAGACGTCTGGAATACTCAGGTTGCCGCGGATTCAGACGTTCGAAACGACCCACGGCACGAATCAGACAGCTGCTGATTCGGACGTTCGAAACGCAAACGATATACGATCCGAATCAGACACGGGGGCGTCAAAGTTCGATTATGACCCAAACGCCATACTGCACGCCCCCAACCGAATCAGAATCAGACAAACAGCCCAACCAACTCGGCGTCGTGCGGACAAATCACAAAAATCACCAAAAACACCATCCCCCGTCCCCCCTATCTACCTTTGCTCAGCGTGGACTGCTGGATCTTGAGTTTTTCGTACAACAGCGCCAGCTCGTCGTTGCGTCGAATGAGTTGAGTGCCGAGGATATCCCGTTCGTTGATGACTTGGTCGTATTCTTTCTTTTGCTCGAGGGCTTCGTCGTCCATGCGTCGGATCATCGTTGTCAGTTTGCGGATCTCGGCGTCCTGGTTGTTGATCGTTTCTTCGTTCGTGGCCAAGAGCGTGCTGTCCATTCATTTTAAGTCGAAGACAAATCAAAGCATCGTCTCGTGTACTGTACGTACCGCAGCCGCGCCAGTTCGTTCTTGTGCTGTTCGCGCTGCTTTTCAACCTTTTGGTGGTCGAAATGCTCTTTGACGAGCGCGTGGTCCTTTGCCGACACTTCCTCCTTCAACTGCTCGATCTGGTGGTTGATGATCTTGAACTTGCGCTTCATCTCGGCAATCTCGTCTTGGGATTCAATCAAGTTTTTGCTGTACAAGTTGCGGTCGCTGCGCACAGCTTCATACAGTTGCTGTTGCTGTTTCAATTTGCCGTCGCCCTCAGTCACCTTTTTCTGCATCTCGTACATGCGCATGTCCTTCAACTTGATCTCTTCCTGCGCCTGGACAAACAAATTCCGCTGCTCGCTGGCTTCGATGCCATACTTTTCGCGCTCCTTTTCCAATTGGTAGATCAACTTGCGCTGCTTGGCCGCCTCCTGTTTGTACCCGTTCAGTTCGGCCTCGAGGTTCTTGGCCACGCGCTCATTCGTTTTAACGTCGTCGCAGATCTGTCGCACACGCTCTTCGGCCTTTTGCGTGGCCTTGATCTGGATACTGCGCTCGCGTTCCAACGCGTTCAACTCGGCCTTTTGAGCTTCCTCTACCCGTTTGTCGGCGTCCAAATCCTTTTGCATCGACTTGAGCTGCGTCTGCAGCACGAGCTTGTTTGTCCACTCGTCTTCGAGCTTGCCCTCGACCTTTTGCGTGTTGCGCTTTTCCTTGTCGATCCGCCTCTCGGCCATGTTCTTCTCGAGTTTTAACTTGGTGATGTCGTCCGTCTTTGCCTTGATTTCCAATTCAAACTCGCGGCGTTCCACCTCCAACTGCATGTTCTTGTCGTTCTAGACAAATGAAACCAACATATCACTGGCTAGCAGCAGCTCCAATGCATACACACACTCTTCAAGGCACCCCCCCTCCCCTTTGAATGGGGCCAGCGCTGGGGGGCTACAATCTAGTCCATAAACACCCACCTGGTCGTTCAACAGCTCGGTCAGCTTCTGCGATCGGTTATACAGGGTTTCGTAGTCGCGGACGTATTTTTCCATCGTTGCTACAATTCATCAATGTCATGTTGTACATGGATTTCAAAGCGATATCACTCATTCGTCCCACAATTAATCACACACATATGACATATCTCCCCCAACACAGCAGGTGGCGTCCACTACTAACCCTGGGCGTCCGCGAGCTGCTTCTCTAACGTCTGCACTTGAGTCGTGGCACGCCCGACGTCGGTCGACAGCGCAATATTTTCCACACTTTTCCGCTCCAACTTGACTTTGACGTCTTTGATTTCCTTGTCCAGGCGTTCCTTTCGTCGGTTTTCGCGCTCTTGTTCGGTCTACAATGCACCCCATTAGACTGTACTGTACGAACCACCTTCCTCTTGAAAGTGATATATATATATATATGTACCGCTTTGAGCTGCAGCTTGTCCTTGAGCGCCTGCACTTCAATCGCCTGCACTCGTTTGCCTTCTTCCATTTCCGCAATCTTGGCGTGCAACTCCTGCATCCGCGCGTGGTCCTTGCGCGAGTTCGTCTCGTGTTCGTCGTTGTTGCGGCTCAGTTCTTCCTTGACTTTGACCAGCTCTTTCATGGCGTTTTCCTGGCCCACGCTCAACCCCGCCCTAGATTATATCAAATTCGTCACAAACGACTGGAGCAACGAGTCTACCCTTGTTCCACGAGCCGACTGAGGTTGGTGATTTCGTCCTTGAGCTGGTTGATGGTTTCCTTGGCCCGAATCTCCTTTTCGTGCGACGCGTCGACCATCTTCCACGCCTTTTCCATCTCCTTTTTCAACGACGCAATGGTCGTTTGGTCCTCCTGGCTCAACTTTAGCGCCGTTTGCACCTTGGCTGCGTTGTTCACGATCTCTCCGTTCAATTCACGACACTTTTTGATCAGCTTCTTCTCTTGCATATTGCTTTTCTTGAGCGCGCGGTGCAGCTTTTCGTACTCGAGCCGGAACCGCTCCAGACTCTTGTCCCCCACAAGTTCCGTGAGCACCTCCTGGAAGTCCTTCTCGAGGGCATCCAGTGACGTGGCTTCCATGTTGGGCTCGTCCAGACCTTTCCCGCCGCTGCCGCCACCACCGGCATGCTCTTCTTCGTCGACAGACATCATCGCGCCGCCGACGTCCTTTCCTCGATTCTCCTGCCAACCTGGCGGACGACGGTTGGCGTGCTATTTTTAGAAAGTGCACTTCAAGTATCCGGCAGCACATAACCGGACATCAAACGACGACATTGAAATTATTATTCAGCCACATTGAATATCCTACAAAAACTCTAGGTTCTGGTGCTTTCCGCGTACTGATAGCGCAAACAGCCACCATCGGTTCTGTGGTTAAAGTGTACAACCAAACTGGTTGTAGGCTTCAGCCAATTCCTTGAGCATTCACGGTGTGTACACTAATGTAACGTTCCTAACATTGTAGAGTTCTGTCCTGCTAACAGTTAACGTTTGTCGCATCCCGATCACTCCGCCTCATACTGTATTCGCAAAACAACCAACAAGCTATGCACCAGCAACTTGTAGTTTCACTCTACTGTACACTAGTAGTACTACGTATAATACATGGCGGTGGATGATATTAGACAGATTTCGCAAACCCCAGTTCTATTCTATCCGCAACCTAAAATTTAGAACCCAGATACTGTACGTTTGGGCAAGATCAAAGGATTGGCGGGCCATTTCCCATAACTATTTTTGTACAGCTGCAATTACAAAACAAAATAGATCACCCTACGGGGAATGATAGCGTGCGTAGGGTGAGGGGTGTGGCTTTGGAATTGGCGTTGAACTGCAATAGTTATGGGCTAAGGCGCATTGAAAAGCATCCACATCCAGGTCGACCATTGCCTTTGAAATAATGTACAATTTCGAATTAAAAATATACGACAGATGGCGGCAAGTTACTAGAACACGGCTTGGGTTACTAGATTCTCAATAACGTTAGTGAGTGAGTTGAAAATTAATTTTTAAACTCACCGCACTACTAAACACCT